AGTCCGTGTGCAGTGCCAATTATTATCGTGCCAAAGAAGGATCACACCTGGCGGATGTGTGTAGACTGTCGAGCCATCAATCATATTACAGTTAAGTATCGTCATCCAATTCCACGATTAGATGATATGTTTGATGAATTATATGGCTCTACGGTGTTTTCCAAGATTGATTTGAGATCAGGTTATCACCAAATTCGTATGAAGGAGGGAGACGAGTGGAAGATTGCGTTTAAGACCAAGCATGGTTTATACGAATGAATGGTGATGCCCTTTTGTTTAACCAATGCTCCTAGCACGTTCATGCGGTTGATGAACCACGTTTTGAGGCCATTCAATGGCAAGTTCGTGGTTGTAAAATTTGATGACATTCTAATATACTCAAAGTGCATGGAGGATCATCTCAATCATTTACGAGAGGTGTTGTCGATGTTGAGGAAGGAGCAATTATATGATAACCTCAAGAAGTGTTCATTTTGCACTTTTAGTGTTGTTTTTCTTGGTTTTGTGGTGAGTGCAGATGGAGTAAAGGTGGACGAAGAGAAGGTGAAAGCAATTCGTGATTGGCCTATTCCTACCAACGTGAATGAGGTGCGGACTTTCATGGGCTAGCTGGATTCTATCGACGATTTGTGCCCAACTTCAGCACCATTGTCGCACCATTGGCATCCATCATCAAGAAGAACGTGACATTGTATTGGGGAGAGGAGTAGGCCAGAGCATTCGAGCTGCGCAAACACAAGCTCACGCACGCTCCTATTCTGATGTTGCCAGATTTCAATAAGATATTCGAGGTGGAGTGCGATGCTTCTAGTTTGGGAGTTGGCGCAGTGTTGATGCAGGAGAAGAATTCAATTGCATACTTCAGCAAGAAGTTGAGTGGGGCTGCCCACAACTATCCTACTTACGACAAGGAGCTCTACGCTCTAGTTCGAGCCTTGGAGACGTGGCAACACTATCTATGGCCGAAGGAGTTCGTGATTCATACTGATCATGAATCGTTGAAGTATTTGAAGGCTCAACACAAGCCGAACAAGAGACATGTGGATGGGTTGAGTTCATTGAGTCATTTCCATACGTGATCAAGTACAAGCAGGGCAAGGAGAATGTAGTTGTTGATACCCTATCTCGCAGGCATACATTGATCACTACGATGGGAGCAAGTTATTTGGGATTCGAGCATATTAAGGAGCTTTACGTTGATGATGCTGACTTTAGAGAGATCTATAAGACGTGTGAGAAGCATGGAGATGGGAAGTTTTATCGAAGTGATGGCTATATGTTTTGAGCTAATCAGTTGTGTATTCCTCGAGCATCAATTCGAGAATTACTGTTGAAAGAGGCTCATGGAGGAGGCTTAATGGCGCATTTTGTTGTAGACAAGATGCTGGGTTGTCTACAAGAGCACTTCTATTGGCCGCACATAAAGGGAGACGTGGGAAATTTGTGTGCGAGGTGCGTGGAGTGCAAGCAGGATAAGTCGAAGGTGAAATCGTCTAGATTGTACACACCACTGACGATTCCATATGCTCCATGGATCGATATTTCTATGGATTTTGTGTTTGGTTTTTCGCGGCCAAGGAAGGGAAGAGACTCGATTTTCGAGGTGGTGGATCGATTCTCGAAGATTGCACACTTTATCCCATGCCATAAGACTGACGATGCGGTAAACGTGGCTGATTTATTTTTCTGGGAAGTGGTGTGATTGCATGGGATGCCGTGTTCCATAGTATCCAATCGAGATACTAACTTTCTGAGCTTTTTCTGGAAGACGTTATGGAGCAAACTGGGGACTAAGCTATTGTTCTCTACCACATGTCATCCTCAAACCGATGGGCAAACAGAGGTGGTCAATCAAACTCTATCCCAGATGCTTCGAGCTATAATTAAGAGCAACATCAGGGTCAATCTCGATGGAGCAAAGAAGGCAGAGTTCGTGAAAATCCTACATGAGAAGGCTAGGTTGAACATCGAGAGGAGAACTGAGCAGATTATGCGAAATGTGAACAAGCACAGGAAGCCGAGGCACTTTGAAGTTGGCAATTGGGTGTGAGGAAGGAGAGATTCCCCCAGCAAAGGAAATCGAAGTTGCTGCCTCGTTGTGATGGTCCTTTCCGGGTGGTTTCGAATGTGGGAAGCAATGCCTACAAGATCGATTTGCTGGGAGATTATGGAGTAAGTGCAATGTTTAATGTTTTTGACCCTGCACCTTATTTGGATGGCAATTCGGATTTGAGGGTAAATCCTTTTGAAGAATGAGGGGCTGATGAGGACATCAATGTGATAGTCATACGTGCAAAGGAAAAAGCGTTGAAAGAGATGCTTGCAACGTATTTGGAGAGCTACTTTGGAGCCATGAACGTGGAGTTGTTTCGAAGGAAGCCATATATGATGATTCGAGTGGAGGAAGAAGGAGGAAGTGCTGAGAGAAGGCAGATCGCAAGAAGGAGCCTTAACGGGTTCTTAACGGTTTTGGGCTTAACTGGTTTGCTGGGCTGTTTTTGGGTTCCCTTTGTTTTAATGTCGGTTTAGTTTTTTTTTCCTTGTTGGATTCGGATTTGGATTGAATTTGCCTATTTCAAGTGACTGAACTCGTTGGTTTGGAGGTAGACGATTATTATTGAATTTCAAAGGCTGCTGCCGAGTTCCCTTTAGGACTTTTGCCCTAATTACTCTGTTAAGGATTCTGGAGTGTTAGTGCGACTCTGATCGGCTAGGTATTCACCCTAGTTGTGGCGAGCTACCCATATCGGTTTCCCTTTATTCCGAGTTGAATCTGTCCGGTTAATTCTTATATCGGTTGCCCTTGTTCACAAGTGAGTATTCTCCGATCGATTCCATCCTATCCGTTTCTTTTTTGTTCGAATTTCTTGGAGCTGTGCAACTTTGATTGTATCATTAGGGGCATTCATGGGAGAGGAACATTCGAGCGTATACATCTTGCGGTATATATCAAGGAATTTTTCTCATAACGGTGATCATGAGAATGGAATTTTATTGTTAATGTAGATTAGAGTTACTAATGTGATTCTCTTAGTTTATTACTGTGTAGTAGTATAGTAGTAGTGTATTGGTATAGCCACATGATAAACTTATAACTCGTTTTTTGTTGATGTTTTTACTTCCTGTTGAATCTGTTTTGATTTGTCCATTAGCAAGTTTTCCATGTTTTTATAAAAAAAATTACTTGGAATGGTGTTTTAGTATGTTTCGGAGCATTATAATTAAATTTGATGGTTTTGGGACATGAAATGCACAGAGGAGCTAAAACTTTGATTTTGGCTGATAATGCAATTCATTTAAAACGTCTTTGGAATTCACATGTGAAGTTCAACACATCCTATTGCACAGTCATGCCACAACTCGTTCCGGATCCCAAAATTTGCCTCATTGGAGCTGCAGAAGACAAGAATTAAATTCAAACATATAAAAGATTGTCGAGCTGAGCACAAATTAAGGCATGGTCGTGCCAGATACCTCTTCTGATTTTGAATAGGAATACTAGTTGGAACACGTTTCTGATCATGTTAGTAAAGTTGTCTATAAAAGGTCTTTTAACCTAAGCTTTCGAGATAACTTGTTTCTTTGAAGGAGAATCATAAACTTGTTTCACACCCTCCTAAGTCGGTTTCTAATGTTGTTTCGTGCTAGATTTACATTTTAAGTTTGTTCTTGGTGGCACCTTCAATCGTTATAGCTTAGCATGTTGAACAAATGCTTTAGTTAGAAATATAGGGTGGATTATGAGAAAACATTCATCCAGTGACCCAGATGCAAATATTTTGTAGAATTCCCGCTCTCATATCTCTTAAGCATTGGCTTCTACACCAGTATAGAGCATCGACCAGGTTTCATTCCTTCATGGTAACTTGAAGAAAACTATGTATAGAGCATCCACTAGGTTTTCATTCGTTCTAAGGCCAATTCGAAGAGTGGTATCCGTGTAATACTCTGATGGAGCCGAATCTCAAGCTAGGGCATGATATGAGCAATATGATCATGCATGTTACTTGGTATGGTTAGGTTGTTGAGATTTTACTCTATCACACTAATCCTTGATCGGATTCTTCTTTAGGAATTGTCAGAAAATTCATGATGATACTTGTGTCAAATAGTCAATCAAGCATTGAAACTCTTTAAAGGAATTGTTGTTCAATCACTCTTCATGTACGATTTAATGGGGATAAGATTGATATTCAAATAACTAATAATCTCGTCCTACACGGTCTCATGAAAAAAATTGAAAGTATGTTCATTACATTTGTGAACTTGTTGCCGACAAATGCCTCAGACTCTTACTACATCACGTTTGAATACAAGATTGTTGATTTTTTAACAAGGAGGTACATCTCGTCCTCACTAGTTTTTGTGGAGCAAATTTATTGGTTGTACCTCACGTCAATATGGGGAGGTTGTTAATGTGTATGAGGGTTTATGCAATGTGTAGTAGTGTTTATTAATGCAGCGACATGATTAATATAACTCAACATAACATATAGTATGGATAACTCAAGCAGACATAATAATGAAATTGATTGAGAATGCTACCTCTTCGTGAATGAACATTGTTTATACTTAACAACATAAATAATTTAAATCTTACGTCTAAATTGACAGTATACTCTCACTCCGGACTCCGGACGAAATAGCTCTACTTACAGATGTAATAGTAGATCAGAAATTAATCATCTCATCTAACTAGCTATCCTTTGCATGTGATGAAAACCGGTCTTGTATTTAATCCACTCTCACCTGTAACTTGTAAACCATGAAATGATGGAAATCGAATGTTGTGACGCATCCCATTTTCATACCTACCTTTTCTCTATATTGCATAACCACATAACAGTATACATCATGTGCGTCGCTGTCAAATTTCAATAGAGAAGTATTTAGACCAATTTCAAAAATAATAATTAGAAGAAGGAAAAAAAAAAAGACAATTTCCAAAACCCTATATATAACAGCCGCTCTTCGCCCTTTCCATTCTCATTCTCTTCTCAATCCAAACCCTCAAGAGGAAAACGGAAAACAACATTATCAGAAGAAGAAGAAGAAGAAGAAGCAAAAAAAAATGTCGTCGGCAGCTCAAAACAACGGCCATCACTTCTTCCCGTTAACTCTCTCCGTCAAGCTCAAGTACGTTAAACTCGGCTACCACTACCTGGTCCCTAACTCCGTGTACCTCCTGCTCATCCCACTCGCCGCCGTCTTCCTCACCAACCTCTCCACCCTCTCCACCGCCGACCTCCTCGAACTGTGCAGCAGAAACTCCGCCATCCTCACCGCCACCTCCATCTCCTTAGTCTTCCTCGCCACCGTCCACGTGATGCACGCCCCGCGAAAAATCTACTTATTGGACTTCGCTTGCTACAGGCCCAGCCCGGCCCAAATGTGCTCCAAGGAGCGCTTCATGAGGATTTCATCCGCTACGGGCAAGTTCACGGAACAAAGCCTGGAGTTCCAGCGCAAGATACTGGAGAAATCCGGGTACGGTGACATGACCCACATTCCCACGGGGCTGCTCGGGGAGCTGCCCGCGGACCAGTCGATGGCCGCGGCAAGGGCGGAGACGGAGACCGCCATTTTCGGAGCCATCGATGACTTGCTGGACAAGTGTGGGGTGGAGGTTAGGGAGATTGGAGTGCTGGTTGTGAACAGTAGCTTGTTCAATCCGACGCCGTCTCTTTCGGCCGCCATCGTCAACCATTACAAGCTCCGGGGGAACGTCTTGAGCTTTAATCTCGGCGGGATGGGTTGTAGCGCAGGCTTGATCTCCGTTGACCTCGCTAAAGACCTCCTCCAGGTTTGGCCTCTCGCTTTCTTCCTTTCTTTCTTTCGTCACCACTCCACTTTCACTTTGTGAAAAATCATTAGGTATGAATATGTTAAATATCTGTAATTCGATCCGTGAAAGTAGTGCATAATCAGACGTCACCATCGACAAATTGTCGCACTAATGATAAAAGTGTGTTTTTGTTACTAAATATGGGCTGCTGGCTGCGGCTGCTCTATTAAACGGAATTGCTGGGCTTATATTTTATTTATTTCCCACTTATATCATTACGTCGTCGTTTGCGATTTTTCCCGTACATCAATTTAATGCAATTGGATTCGCACGAGCGAGCAGGTGCATCCCCACACGTACGCGCTGGTGGTGAGCACAGAGAACATAATCCGCGGGTCCTACTTCGGCAACGACCGGGCGAAGCTTCTGAGCAACTGCCTCTTCCGCATCGGCGCCTCCGCCGTCCTCCTGACCAACCGCCGGTCCGAGCGCCGCCGATCAAAGTACCAGCTCTGCCACACCGTGCGGACACACAAGGGCGCCGATGACAGGTCCTACCGCTGCGTCTTCCAGGAGGAAGACGAACAGGGCATCGTCGGCGTCTCCCTGTCTAAAGACCTAATGGCCATCGCCGGCGAAGCATTAAAAACCAACATCACCACTTTGGGCCCGCTCGTCCTGCCCTTCTCCGAGCAGATCCTGTTCCTATCGACCCTAATCGCGAGGAAATTGATGAAATCGAAGGCGATCAAACCCTACATCCCGGATTTCAAGATGGCGTTCGAGCACTTCTGCGTCCACGCCGGCGGCAGGGGCGTGCTGGACGAGGTGGAGAAGAGCCTGGATCTGGCGGAGTGGCACATGGAGGCGTCGAGGATGACGCTGTACAGGTTCGGCAACACGTCGAGCAGCTCGCTGTGGTACGAATTGGCGTACAGCGAGGCCAAGGGGCGGATCAGGAGAGGGGACCGGGTCTGGCAGATCGGGTTCGGGTCGGGTTTCAAGTGCAACAGCGCGGTCTGGCGGGCGCTCAGGACTGTGGATCCCAAGTGCGAGAGGGAGAGGACGAATCCGTGGGCGGGCGAGATTGATGGGTTTCCTCTTGAGCTTCCCAAACTGGCACCTGTTGTTGCGAACAAGGGCTTGGCCTAGTGGTAACACCACTAGCCTAGAACCTGGAGGTCCCAGGTTCGAATCCCTTAAGTAGTACCTTAATAGCAACAAAATGAACCTATATCACCCTTATCAAAAAAAAAAAAAAAAAAAAAAAGTGGCACCTGTTGTTTACTGATGAATGATTGACGAACATGGGTGGGTTGGGGTGGGTGTGGAAATGAGTACTATACTATTTATTCCTAGTGTTCACAACAAGTCAATCGTGAACACAGCAACATTTATTATCATGCCGTGAAATGTAATTTGTTTGATTGTTGTGTTTGTTTTACTTGGAACAAGGAATAAGTCTTTTGCCCATTGCTATTTTTATAGGAGCAAGAATCACCGACTGATGTTACGTTGACGGCAACAGTTTCTATTACAACTAAGCGAATCATAACAACAATTTTCGGTCTACTTCTTCTAACTTCTCTCTATCAATCGAGTGACTGTGTATGTGTTCCTCTACGCTTACTTCACTCAAAAGTTTTCGGCAGACTTTCATCCTTCTTCTCAGCAACTAGCTATGCTGTCTGTGCATGAATCAAAGAATAGACAATTTTAAGTCTAATATGCTGTTCATCTGCCAACCCATCACATAACATGCCATGCCAGTGAGTTCAACTGAAAATGAGTAAACCTTTGACCACAATAGGCTCCAACAGAAATCGCTTTCTCAAGTTAGGGATTTTAACAGTACAGTTTGCGTAAGTTTAGTACCTAATAAAATAAAGTAGCAGTTTCTTCTCTGATTCATCAACTCAACAGCTGGAGGTTGGCACGAACAAGGGCCACGAGAATCAAAGACCAGTCAGTCATCTTCAGCACTGTGGCTCTTTAAATGCAGGAACATCCTCTTTGCCGGTCGGTACTCATTAGTCTGGATAGCCTAACTGATTGTGACTTCAACTGGCAGCAGGTTGTACATAATACATTAATGGAACTTAATAGTTAAGTGTTAATACATCCCCCAAATCCCACGAGCTGCCGTAAACTTGCTGCTTGGCCTGGCGGTGAGTTCGTACAAGATCCTCCCAAAAGTGTCCGAGTACTTGCTGTCGGAGAAGAGAATCTCGGCGAAAGAATTCTCGTAGATCAGCAGCAACGGCCTATTCTGTGGCTCCGAGACTAAGCTCTCCAGAATCATCGATGCTTTCCTGCATATCTCTGGCACTGGATGAGGCATCTTGATCACCTTCAGTAACCGGTCAACCGCCCTAGAAGAAATAATATGTATTAACATTACATGTCAATACAGTTAACACTTAACAAGGTTTTAGCAGCTAGGTTCTAGGACAATGTTTGGCCCGGCTGTTGCTTTCCTAAAAAGAGCTTCTAGTAGGAGCATTCAAAGAAGTCCACTTTGGGGGAGGCAAAAAACTTGAAATATTAGATAGATAAGAGGGGACTTTTTTCTTTTTTTTTTTTTTTCCAAAAGCTAGATTGGTAGAAATGTCTGGCCTGGCTTATGCTTTTGAACTAGAAAAATCCTTAAAATGTTGGGTCAAAGACAATTCGGTAGAAAGATAGACCAGAGCATCACCATCGTTCACTGGCGAGCTTCAGCCTGCAGTCCATGTTGACTTCTGCTAGGTTATAGAGAGCACCAACTGCAGCTGCTTGGGCATCGACTGCTTGTATGCTCAAAAGGTCCACCATACGCTTATGTATCTGCAGGGCTAAATGAAGTTATATCACATTGTGTTTAGCTTAGCAAGGAAAGGGAAAACACGAACAAAGAGGTTTATGCCTGTGGAAGAAATGGAAGAAGGAAAGGTTCGTTGTCAGGATTTATGATTAACCGTCCTATTAGTTCAGCAGCTGCACATTGCCAAGTTTTAACTGAAGAACCCAGAATGCCCATAATAGCTTGGACTGCCCTTTTCTCTCTGCAAGAATTACAATAGTTGGGTCTCCATCACAAGCAAACATGTAAATGCACATCTTTAAATCGTATGTTGGACAGCTTCTTACGGTGTATTGATGAAAGGTGACTTTTGTGAGCTCAAATTTCGGAGATTGAGCACAGGAGCCAAATTTACAGCTGTTTCAAGGGCGTTTGTTACAAGTTCCTCATCCTCTGTCAAAGGAAGAGCTTCAGTCAGCAAATATTATAAAGGGCTTCATTCGTTGAAGTATTTCCATCAAATAAGAAATAAAACCAAAAACAGTAGTGCCTCAATACCCTAATTTCAGTGATGCAATTAAACACTGACGACCAAAGAAAAAAGTGTGCACTCAGTGGAGGTATTTCAGGTAGTCTGATGATTCAGCTATATTTGCACATTTCCCAGTCCTGGTATTTCATATTCTTACATAACAGCTAATTTCATTTTTCATCATGCAAAGTCCGCTCACGTCTCGATTTCAGGTAGAGGCCAACATCACATGCACTCGAATAATGTACACTGAAAAGGTGGGCATTCAATGGAGGTGATGATTCAGGTAGTCTGATGATTCAGCTAATTGGCACATTCGCCAGTCCTGGTATGTAATACTGTTGTACAACAGCTAACTTCATTTTTCATCATGCAAAGTCCCCTCAAGTCTCGATCTCTGGTAGAGGCCAACATCACATGCAGTCACATGATGTACACTGTGAAAACAAGTCACTAGGAGATGCAAAGCTCAATTCACATATGAACATGACCAATAGATGGTAGCTCCAGCTGCTTTTTAGGCAAGCTAAACAAGAAGTAGCGAACTCTAAAACTTATTGGGCTGCCTAGAAAGCATAGTATCGAATATGCACAAGAGCGAATAGTAGATGCACACTCATGATGCATTAGGGCTTTGGGAAAGATGCGGAAGAATGCAAGATGGCTCCAGTACAAACAATACTGTTTATGTCATTTAAAGTTTTAACGTCAATTATCACCACGCAAACTTTCTTAGCTGCAGATTTTTAAGGGTATAGAACAATTCACGAGGTTTGCCCTACACTAAGCATCAAATCATTTAAGTTCATGTAGCAATGAGATATTCAAAGGTAAGAAGCACAACACAGAAGACTATACAGTTTAGTACAAATTGCCCTCACCCGAGTTGTGACCTTCGATACATTGGAAGACTGTTTCCACACAATGCCGGTGTTGGGCCATGACAGATTCATTTTCTTGCATAAAGGAGAAATTGCGTATGATATTTGATGCAGCAACAGCACACTGTTGTCTTTCTGCCCGTCCTTCATCATCCAAATTAAAAATACCATCCTCATCCGACCACCACTCTGAAGAACGACCTTTAGCTGCATTCTTCATGGCCAAAGCCTCACTTGCAGTAGATACTGACCTGCCAATATACACATTTCTTCCAAAGTTTCACACTTAAAACTAATCGATAGCCCCAATTTCCTCGCACATGAAACAAAATTAACTATCCCTTACCCAGGATGGGATGGAGCAGTCAGCGATCCCAATGCCTCGTACTCATGGCCGAAACCCGTGACAAGAGAATTTGCACCTAAATTGCGGACTCTAGTGCTCCTGCTGATTTCTTTAGGAAGCCCTATATCACGCCAGTCATCTATCTGTTTGGCATTACATTCTCAAAAAAGTAAGCTCTTTTGAAGAAACAAGTAAGAACTAACGCACTTTTGAGGAACCAAAATCACGAATTCCTCTCACCCTCCCATTGGTTTCGCTACTGCCCGTGTTACTACTGCCAATAAACCATCAGTCTATTCTGAAGAAAGTTGAGTAGTTGAGCAACTTACAACTTGGAGGAGAGCGTCGAGCAAGCCGGGGACTTTGGCCAGAGAGTGGTCTTTGCGCATATCTTCCTTCTCCTTGAAAGAGAGCAGAGTGAGAGTGTTCAACGCCCATGTCAGCTCGCTCTTCAGCCCACTCTGAAGCGCCAGAACTATCCTCTTATGATTTTGATCTGCAAATCCACAAATTAACTTTAAGAACGAGGCAACCGGTAGTAACCAAAATGAAGAATCAGGTCTCAGTATCTGACGAACTGACCGGCGAATGTGTTGTGAACCTGGAGAGAAGGGCCAAGCATATTCAAAGGAGCTGCCGCATCTCCCCCGCTGCCTCCGGCGGAGGAGTTGCTGTTCGTGCTCCCAAAAGGGCGGCCTCTCTTCGCCGGCGGTGCCGATGTGCCGCCGGCTGAGCCGGTGAACTTGCTCTGGTCTCGTTTCTGCATCAGTCTATGCCTTTACTTTCTACTTCTGCTCCGCCTGTGGGAAAGTTGGGAATTGCGGACGGATTTAATTTAGGGCATCGACCCGGATCCGACATCGGAACCGGGATATATCATATCGAATTGGATCTTGAATTGAAGATATTTGACTTTTGAAAGCCATAGCCAGATAGGTGAGGTGGGCTGCGAAAGCCCAAGGATTCTAACTTAGCTGGGCTGCCGGTTAGACTTCCCGCTAGCGTTCCCGGGCTTAGATCCACGGTCTGCGAGAAGGTTTAGCAAACTTTATGGGTCGTAGGCCCTAACTAAAACTTTTTTTTTTTTTTTGTGAAAGCCGGAGCGCTAACGGGCGCTCCTAGCCGTTATTATTAATCAAACGGAGTGTTTGAACCCCCAACAAGTCAAAAAATAGCCAGTAGTTCAGAGAAGAGTTTGGGCGGTCTAAAACATGCAAACCAACACCCCGACTATGACCTAAAGAGGCAAGAAAGTCGGCAACAACATTACCCTCTCTATACATATGGATTATCTCCACCTGCCAGTCTCGAGCAAGGAGGCGCCGCGCGGCCGCAATTAAACAGTGATGGGGATTGCTAGAAGTCGCCTCGTGCAGAAGTTGCATAGCGATCTTTGAGTCCGTCTGAACTTGGACCTTCTTCAAACCCAGATCCCAAGCGATTTGGAGCCCATCGGTGATGCCTGCGATCTCAGCCTTGGTGATGGATCCACCCCCAAGATTCATCGTGAACGCTCGAAGTAGCAGCCCCTCTTCATCACGAATGACTCCACCTGCTGCTGTACTCTCCGGCGTCGAGATCACAGAGCCGTCGGTATTAAGACTCGTAAGGTCCCGACCAGCAACCAATGGCAAACCTCGTAGCTCCGACGGTCGAGCTTCTGTCCTTCAGGTAGTGAAGCATCCACCGGTGGCCATCCTGCTGGAAGAAGGTGTCGTCCGGTTCGTCTTGGAGGACTTCCGCCCAGTAAGCCCTGGCAAAGGAGCAGTCCCGGATCACATGCATGGTGGTTTCCGGCCCGCCTCCGCATATGGGGCAAGTAGCTGAGTCGGTAAGGTGCCTCCTTCGCCTCTCATCGTTGGTGAACATCCGGCCATGACCTGCAAGCCAGAAAAACGACCGGACTCTTTGGGGAACGGGGGATCTCCAAATCGTGCGCCATAGGGGGTGATAGTGTTGAGCCGGCTCGTCCTCGTCAGTTAGTTCGTACGTCGTCTTCACGGAAAAAGCTCCCGAGGGGGTCAGTCGCCATAGCAGGACGTCTGGTTGCTGTTCATGGGGAACCGGATGCAGCTGGACCTGCAAAACAACTTCTGGTGGTAAAAAGTTAGCAATGTAGGGGATGTTCCATTCTCCATTAAGCACCACTTCAGCCACCGTCAGCTCCCGATCACCCGATGAAAGATCATGGGCAAAATCCGCTAGCGTAGGTCCATCCTGTAATCAGCTATCGACCCAAAATTTGGTCGATCGCCCATCCCGAATGTTCCAAATTGTAGCTTGGGGAAGGTGATGCAGGACCCGAAGAACTCCCCTCCACAAGTTGGATAAAGGCCCTGAAGTTCTCGCCACCCAGCCGTCTTGCGTTTGTTTAAGGTATTTTGCTCGAATGACCTTGGCCCATAGACTCTCACTCTCTGTCCAGAGGCGCCATGCTACCTTCAACATGAAGGCCTCGTTCATTCGGGTAGTTGTACGCATCCCCAACCCTCCTTCCTCTTTTGACCTGCATAGCGTTTCCCAGTCAAGGAGGTGCACCTTCCGATCAGTTCCTGAGCTACCCCATATAAAGCCACGAATCTTGCGGTCAATATATTCGCGCACACAAGCAGGCAAGAACGCCGTTTGCATCGTATAGGCAGGTAGGGAGGCTAGAACTGACTGCGCTAACGTTATCCGCCCAGCTAGTGACAAAGACTTTACCTTCCACCCAGCAAGCCTGGAGTCGATACGATCAATCAAGTCGATGTATGTGTTCTTGGATACACGGTCATGGATAACCGGGACACCCAAGTATCTTCCCAAGTTCTTAGTCTCAGGGATGTCAAGAGTCGTGCTTACTGCTGCACTTGTCGAGCTCAAGACATTACTCGAGAAAAAAACCCGTGACTTTTGGCGGCTAACTTGTTGTCCGGAGGCCAACCCGAACTCTGCGAGGCAGCTATTTATGGGGGCAGCCTGTGCAAGAGAAGCTTCCCCAAAAAGTATTAGATCATCCGCAAAGAAAGAGTGGGATAAGCTCGGACCTCCCTGTGATAGCTGGATAGGCTTCCACTCGCCAGCTGCAACTGATCCCTTGATAATATGGCCAAGGCGCTCCATGCAGAGAGTAAATAAATAGGGAGAAAGCGGACACCCTTGCCTCAATCCTCTCGATGGTGTGAAAGCCTCCGTGAGGCCCCCATTCTATTGAATAGTCATAGTCGACGTAGATATGCAATACATGACTAATTCAATGAAATCATTTGGCGCACCCGTAGCCTGTAGAGTCTCCTTAACAAAGCTCCACTTTAGTCGGTCATAGGCTTTAGCTAGATCTATCTTGATAGCCATCCAACCTTTCCTTCCCTTCTTATAGCGCATGGAGTGGACCACTTCTTGCAATATGCAAATATTATATGTGTTGTGCCTGTGCGGAACGAAACTAGTCTGGGTCTCATCCACTAGCCTTGGCATGAGCGGCTTAAGCCTTTCCACCAAACTCTTAGTGATTATCTTATACGTAACGTTGCACAGGCTAATGGGCCGAAACTGCTCGATGAGGGTGGGCGACGGTACCTTGGGGATTAAGACAAGCACCGTATCGTTGATGGAAGCAATGGCCTGCGGAACCAACCAACACTTCTTCGCAAACTCCACCATTGAGGGCCCCGTGAGCTCCCAGAACTTCTGGTAGAAAATCGGACTAAGCCCCTCCTTGCCTGGAGCTTTAAGTGGCGCCATTAATTTGACGGAGCTAAGGATCTCTTCCTCCGTAAAGGGTATCCCAACCGCATTCCAAAGCTCATCAGCAATAGCAGGGAAAACCCCCTGAAGCGGAGAGGTAGGCAGACCATCATCCTCGTATAGGGCCTCAAAAAATGCTCGAGCCATCTCCCGAAGCACTTCCTGATCCTCTACCCAGTCACCTTGAGCATTCTTTAGCATTGCTACCCTGTTGCCTTTCCGGCGTTTGATCGTACGTGAGTGGAAATATTTAGTATTGCAGTCACCCGACGCCAGCCATTCCAGTCTCGACTTTTGGCACCATAGAACTTCCTCTTGGACTAGCACCGAGTAAAGCTCTGATCGGAGCGTGTTAAGTTGAGCAGCGTCTGAATCTCCCCCATGCTGCATTTCCAGCTGCTCAATCCGCTTCAGAAGCTCATCTTTCCTTCTCGTAATGAGGCCAAAAACCTCCCAGTTCCACCGTTTGGCTTCCACAACGAAAGAATTAATTGAGCTCTGGAGATCATGACCTTTGTTCCACCCGGCAGTGGCCATATCCGCAAAGCCCTCATGGAGCAACCATGCAGCAATGAAGCGAAATGGTTTGGGGCCTCCAGGCCGAAACTGAGGAGCTAATCTAGTAAGAAGCGGCCGATGGTCAGATTTAATCCTGGGGAGGTGGCGGACAGAAGTATCCGGGAAAGTGGAAGCCCAAAGGTGATTGGCGAGACTTCTGTCGAGCCGTTGTTTAATTCCCGTAGAACGAAACCAAGTGAAGGGCGGCCCCTCGTACCCCAGGTCAAGAAACCTTGTGTCCAGGATACAATCCTGAAAGTCCCTGATCCGACTAGCCTCAAAAGGTGCCCCTCCCGACTTCTCCGAAGCGTGTAAAATTGAGTTGAAGTCACCTGTCAAGAGCCAAGGCAAAGTGGTATCAGCCGCAATGTCGCGCAGTGAGGACCAGAGGTCTCGCCTCTAAATAAGAGCTGGGTTCCCATATACAGCCGTGAGTAGCCAAGTAAGACCCCCCGTTTGGACCACTGTATGGAGAAGCTGGGGTGTACGGTGTATTTCTGTAATGTTTGTCGTAGCCGAATCCCATAGCAACCATATGCCACCCTGCGAAACCCAATGCATCAACTACAAGGCGTCCATCAAACCCCAATTTATTGATGACGTTCAATGCGGTGGCCCCACTGATGCGTGGTTCCACGATGATAATTATACTTGGTTTATAGCGTCTCTTGTATTCCCCGAACGCTCGCAGGAAGTCATCTCCTCCTGCACTCCTACAGTTCCACAAAAAAATGGCGTGATCCATTCACGAAGATAAGTAGGGAGGGCTGACCTGTGGGCAGCTAAAGGTCGGGGACGGATCCTGGAGGAGCCTCATCCTGGGTATGATCCGGCGCTGATTTGTCTAACGCCCTTCTATCTGTACTTACCAACCCCTGCTTTCCCACACTACTTACTGGAACAATTGCTTCAGGTGGGGTAGTGGGTGGTTTGGAGCTCGGAACTTGCGCAGTCACTACAGGGCTGCTGGACTCGACAACATTTGGGGGAGGGGGTGTCTCGATCGGAGTTTGGAGGGTGGTGGAGGGAGATTCGTGGACGTGGGGTGGCGAAGTTATCGTGGCTTTTTTGGGGCTCGACAGGGCTGGGTCTTGTTCAGTGACAGGGTTCATGGGTTGGGTAGAGTCCAAGTTGCGGTTGGGTGCATGCGCGGTATTGTCAGAAATTTTGGGTTTCTCCACCCAAATGGTTTGTTGGGTGTTGTTGGACTTGCTTGGGCGGGGATGCTGGGGATGGGATGGGGGTCTGGAATTTGGTGGTGTTTTGTTTGATGGGCTCGGGGAAGTAGCTGGGAGCTCCTCCTCCTCAAGGATTGCAAAGCGGGATCCACTACTACGGGGGGGGGGGGGGGTTCGGTTAGCTTGGCGCTCTTGGACCGGTGGTTGGCTGGGGTTCGCTGGCTTCCTGCTCTGCTTTTGCTGACTTGGTTTGGCAACCATCCACTCACCATACAGTTCAGTGTGAGCAGACTGGGTAGGTTCGACGGGGGTCTGTGGGGTTGTAGGATCGGGTTTATGCACGGTTGGGCACACAGCTTGCGAGTGGCCATACGTTCCACATTCGAAACAAATATTCTTCAGCCCCTCATTCTGAGGGTAGTATTCCACCCCTTCAATCTTGTAAGCCGATAGTAAAGGCTTCGTGAGATCCACTTCGATGCAAACCCTCGCGTATTTGTCACGCGCCCCAGTCTCAGTAGACTTATCAACGCGGACTGGCGTTCCTGCCCTCTGAGCTATCCTCAGCACTGCCTCCGGGTGGTAGAACTCAATAGGTAGATCAGGGAGTTGCATCCAAACCAATGTCTTTTTGATTTCATTCGTGCGATGGTCAAAACCTTGCTTCCATTGGTGCACAGTAATATAGTTATCTCCGAGCATCGATGGCCCACCCGTCAGCGCATTCTCATAGTCGGCTTTACTGGTGAAACGTACAAAACAGTACCCATGGGTCCTGTTGGTGATCTGGATAATACCTGTCCTTGCCCATAGCTGGTTTAATCTCTTGGCAATAATAGGGTACGGGAAGGTCCTTCCTAGAATTTTCACAACGAGCGCTGACCGCCATTCTCGCCTGTACTTGCGCAGCTCCATCGGAGAAAACACTATGGAGGGACTGCGAGGATCCTCCTCTTCCGGTACTTCGTCATCCCGAGCATCCTCCCGCATCGCATCAGCTACATCCTCAGAATCCGAATCTGCAATATACCAAGAGGTTTCCTTAACGGTGTCACTGAAGAGCTTCCGGTTGCCCACACCCCATGCCACTGGCGCAACTGGTTTGGCGGGGATAGCGTCCGCCTCGTCTTGCACGGCTGAGTCTGCAGGAGGTAGAGGGGACGACGAGGGTATTGCTGTCCTCTCCGCTTCTAGCGTTTCTTCCGTTATGTCCTCGACCAAAACTTCATCCATGGTTGCTTCGTTGGGAAACTCCAAAGCCCTAGGCCTTTTCTTAGGGTGTTGAGCCTCCGGGGCCTTCTTCCCATCCGGAGATGAGGAGGCCTCTTGAAGACGACGAATGCCTGAAGCAGGGTCGGGAGGTTTAGGCTCCTCCACAGCCTGGCGGGGTTCCGGCGAGGCCATCGCCGTTCATACGGCGGGAATAGTCGCGAAAAAACCCTAGTCTCCCTGCGCCTTTACTCCGAGAGTTGCGGAGCAAAAAAGTTTTTCTCTGTTTTTCTAAAACTTCTTTTTGGATTCATCTCTATGTCATCCATCTACACTTTGGTTTTTATTTTTCATATGAGAACAATTTCATTCCATAAAACTAATCGACTATAAAGTGAGGTTGTATCAGTAAGTTAAAAACTAAAGGGTAAATACAATAATATATTAGCCAGAACGGTTAAGGTGTTAAAAATAATAGCTACAATTATCGAAATTCAAAATACAAATTATTAGTCATAACTATTATTGCGGGTCAAGGTATGGCTAGGGATGGCAAAAATATCCGTCACCATGGATATCCGCCCGTATCCGGCCTAATCAGGTAGGGTAAAACCCGATCCCGAAGGACATTTAGTGGGTATGGGTAAAATCTGAACCCGAATATTGCGGTAATGAGTGGGCATGGGTTTCTCACTATCCAACCCGAACTCGCCCGATTATATACATGCATATGTATTTTGTCTAGAAATAATCATTATTTTTCTCTAACATATTTTATATTTAGCATATAAATATAATATTTTCATGAAATGGTCTAGTTTTAATTAATTTTCTTCATCCTAGTGAATTATTGTCGTACTTTTCCTCTTACGTAATGTGAGAATACGTGTGAATGTTAAGTTATTGGTTGGAGTTATGAAGATAATTATTACTCATGGATAACCATGGATACCCGAACCCGAACGGGTATGGGCATGGTTTTGATTTTTTACCTGTTTCACATGTGGGTATGGGTATGGGTAAAACCCGAACTACTATGGGTAGGGTAACTGATATGCACAATTCGCGCCCGACCCGACCCATTGCCATCCCTAGATATGGCTAACAGCTAGTTAACACTAACGATTTATTGAACAGATTTACAGGTAAGCCGACACCTCATCGCCAGCTCAATTATAATAATTTTTTATTTTTCTTTATGATTTGTGGCTATAATTTTGAACACCTTAATAGTTTTGGCTAATATATTGTATTTACCCAAAACTAAATCAAGAATCATAATCCAATTGCTAGGTAAAGAATAGTTTACCAAACAATGAGCGTCTTACATTAGGTAGCCTCCATTTTAATGAATGTCGAAAATATCCATCACGGTAACAACTTGTACATAACACCTCTGAGTTCAAGAAGTCTGACTCACCATAGAGGCCAGAATACTGAATGGAGACCTCACAGTGTACTTGATTCTATATTCTTAATATGGAATCAAGATTTTCAAGAGATTCCCAACTCTCGTTTCAACTAGAGAGCAACAACAAACAACGTCAACCATATCATAGCAATTTTCTTCATACAGAAAACACCATAAAAATCACTAAAAAAATCATTAATAAAAGAATCCGTCAAGATGCACCTCATAGTGAGAGTTGCTAGTAGGTGGTGAGTTTGTATCCTTCTCAACTTGCAACTTCAATAGTGACTCCCCCAATCATGTCATGTTTGATGTGGATAAGCTTCAAAGTTTGGTCTTGTGTTGGTTGGGTGTTTGCAATTGGTAATCAAAGCTTGAAGAAGGACCATGATGAAAGCTTCTAAGACACGTTGTCGATAAGGGGCCATTGTCCCCAAAAGAGAGATATCCTTTACCTTAGTCTTTTCGTTTCATTTTGCAACTATTTTCTTAACAAAAGATTCCAAGAGCAGAGAACAGAAAATTCATAAGAGAAGAGAATACGGTGGCCCAAGAAGGAGACTTTGATTGAGTGAGGGACACAATAATAATGAAGATGGACAATACACCTTTCGCTTGTGGAATGGCTGAAACTAATAAACAATTCGATTTTCCATATCCAGAAGATTGGTGTTGTGAAGATACTACTTGATAGTGCTTAACATAAATTATAAATCTTTCTAACACTTCTAGACACCAGAGAACTTATTTTAAATAAGTTACTTGGTTTATGCAACAAAATCAGGAACTACAAAATCTAAAGTATTTGAGTCTTATCATCGCTGATATAATCGTATTCACAGTGGTATGATTTTGATTTGTATTAGAATTCGTAAGATACGAGATTTTGCAGGTTTTGTATCCTATCAGTTCCATTTTAGAATGGTATAAATTATTATAAATTACAAATGAAAAAGGTAATACTACAAAATCCAAAACTGCAAAATCTCGTGTTTTGTAACAACAAAACTTACAAAACCAAAAAATTGTAAAACCTACAAATTAATGGACCTTACCATATTACCCTGAATGATGATATCATTATGCTACAATCATATCAAGAATAGGGTGATTCATATCATGGATAGTAAGATACGAGTTTCATAGAATTTGTAGCTATGGTTTTGTACCGTAACATAGGCTAAATTGTTTATGTTACGTGGTCCATAGTTGTGAAATATCATATGTACCTAACACTTATCCTGTTTTGCTAAGGATTGGGGTTTTTGTTTATTTGCTTATTGTTTTTCTTCTGCTTTTTTCTGTCTTTGATTTCCTTTTTTCTGGCTGAGGAAGAAAATTGATTGCTCTTTTGGCGTTTTGCTGGTGGCTTTGAGAAAAATACTTTCCCTTTCTTTCTTCTTCCCTACAACAGAGGAGAAGCATATACAAATATATACATGGCAATGAACATGGGTTGTCTCTGATGATGCTGATTTTTCACATCCAACTCCAAGAAAGGCCACTTCTTCTCTAATACCCTTTCTCCTCGATCGGCTTTTTGTAGACAAGTACGTAGACAACTGATTTCAAACAACCTTAAATTCATGGTCGATGAAACCTTAGTACTTGAAAAGTCAGCGATAGAATACTTTATGACAAAACTGTAGTATAAATATATTTTAATCGTTAGTATCATTAAATACTGTTTACCAATTTAACTTCCGATACTGGTATGTTGTGGTTGGACCACAAATACGATACGGTGTCATGGACCATAAAACCGACTACCTCACTATATCAGTAATATTGTCTCTGCCGATTTACTTAATATATCTCTTACTCCATATGTTGGCAAATTTGGTGGTGTAAATTTGAAAGTGGTAGGTACTTCATATCTCATATCTCTTACTTCATATTATTGTGGTATTTTGTGGTTGAACGACCAATACGATACGGTGTCATGAACCATAAAACCAAATGGCGATTTACTTCATATCTCTTAATTCTCTCTATCTGAGTAGGTATCGTGTCTTTTTGCTTCTTGAAGCTTTCATAGAGCTGCCCATCTAGTCGGTATCGTGTCTTTTTACTTCATATCTCATATCTCTTAATTTTCTCTTTTACCTAATCAGTCTTTCAAGCGGGAAAGTATTATAACATCAAAGACTGGACGAGACCGTTCAGGTGCTGACTTTGAGATTTTGAAACTTAAACTAGATTTCAATTAACTTAAAAGTGAAACAGCCAGTAACTTGATTCTTTGCTTGTTTCACACTAATCTTAAGTCAGCTGTGATTAATTGGTATTTTTTTTTAATAACTAGGAACGAGCTCTGGTTAAGTGTGGCGATCTCTGAATCTAACCAGTAACCATTACTTATTAGCTAATCATTTGACTAATCTCTTTTGTTTTAAGTCTAGGGTTTGTAATTAACTAAGTTTTTCCCCCTCTGAGGAATCATAACATACCCAACTTTGATACCATGGAAACCTATACGACAATAGTCGTAGGGTTTCCTATTATTGTTTGGCCACCAAATTGCATCAAATTAGTCCTCGAAAACGTATACATTTTCTCATTTGCATAGTTGTAATTAGTTTCAATATAAATTTTTCATATTTTAATTAGAATATTGTAAATCATATATAAAGCAAGGGTCGTCATCCAACCATTTTATTAGTTTGCTTATGGTACAGGTGACCTGTATTATTGTTTATGGTTGAGCAGTTGACACAATCTGTACTTGATAATGGTTAATTAATTGTCCCACCAAAAAAAAATAGTTAATTAATTGTCATTATCTATTTCAAATCGATGGTATACAAAATCATCCGCATGTGACATGTGGATATTTAGTGATCAATAACTTTGAAGATTAAAGATAGAGAATTAGAGATGACATAAAATACTTAATATTTAGGTTTTGTCAAACTCATTTTAGTATGGGTCAAATTAGTTTTGAGTATTTCAATTTTGGGCAAGAACCAGAGTGAATAGAGTACTAACATTATGTATAGTATCTTTTGCTATCACTCACCAACATGGAACTATAACAATTTCATAGCAATATAGCAAAATTCACTTCCATAATTATAACTAT